ATTATCTTTCTTTCTTGTTCAATAAGGAAGTGTTTATTTATTTCAACAAAACCAAACAGGTTATGAGCCCAGGTAAAAAAGTGTGTTAAAAAAACAATTATTATCAAGAACAATAACGTGAAATTAAAAGAAATAATCGTCGGAAACAACCGTCTTAAAATTTAGTGACAGAATCAATTGAAAAACGACCAGTATCGGAGACTGATAATGCGAAATAAATAAAATTGGACCGAAAAGCGGAATCCGACATTTTATTAGCAGTGAGTCCAAACGAATTAATCGCTTTAGATGGATTAACCACTGGGAAACAAAAAAGGGACAAAATCTAATCCCTATATGAATCTCGAGGACCAGCGCGAAAAGCGCCATTAACACAAAAAATTGGACTTGATTCGTTTGCAAGAAGGAGATGATTTGCGGAAACACATCTCAGAATTTTTCGAAGCCGAACAAAAACTTTGAGAAATTAATTTACAAGTTCCTGACGAGTTGCTTGCAATATTATTATTATATAGATTGTCCGATTTATATTCCATGTTGAGGACAACTATTCAATCACAAGAAGAACTACCAGCAACCGACATATATTGAAAATCTAAATTATGGAAAATTTTAAAAGTCAAAAGAACCGAGACACCGAAAAAGATCAAGGAGCCATGTTTGTGAAGAAGAAATTCCCACGTTCGCAATCAACTAATAAGGATGACAAGAAATACAAAAGTGAAGATCATCAAAATAAAAGAGACATTGAGTGCTTTAGATGTAGTTGCGAGAAATTGTAGATCCAAAATTGATTGGACAAATAAAGACATTAAGCGTCATGCTCAAGATAATGATCAAAAATTTAAGCCCGAAACAATGTAAAGTTCAATAATCGAAGAATTCATGTACACTCAAAATAAACGCTCTGCATGGTGCATTAATAGTGTCAGTACAGAACATATGCGCAACGATAAAAGTATTTTTAACGTTTTTTCACCTATGGACAGTGAAGTGACATTAACTAACAATGAGAGTACACAAATATCTGGAACTGGAGATGTTCATGTCAACGTGGACACTGGAAGTGAAGAACGTAAAATAAATTTTGAAAAAGTTTTTTAAATATCAGACTTACGTACCAATCTGCTTTCAGTTTCCAAAGTTATTGATCACGGTTATAATGTGATATTTCGGAAAAATAACTCGATTGTGGTGAATAATAAAAATGTAACACATTTCCGTGCAAACTGTATTGGTAATTTATATTACGTGAACTAGTATCAAAATAAAGTGAATAATGTTGACATGAAATATGATAAAAATGAGATAGACAAGTGTCACGAAAGATTAGGACATGTAAATGAAAGTGACTTGAAAGCAATGGCCAAAAATAATTTAGTATCCGAGGTTACGAGGAAATATTCGACGACAAGAAAGAAACAACAACAAATAAACACAAAAGACTATTACGAGTGATACGAGGAAATAGGAAAGTGAAAGATCCAAAAATCAATACAAAGTCAATAAATGATGTGCAAAAAATTCGGAAAAGGGCAACAACGCTATCAGGAGAAAATTTAGTCTATCTATCAAAAAGTGGCCTCGGAAGACCTTGCATTATTCGATCCGGATCGGTGGGAGAACACGGAAAACATATTGTGAAGTACCAGTAGATTTCAATACAGAGACCATCAGCGACGATACCTATGAAGACATGGCGATTGCATCGGATGCTGATGATGTTTTTATCTTAAATTTAACAACAAACAATCCTTGTACTTGGAAGGAAGTCTGCAAAATGGAAGATGCTGAAATATGATACACAGCATTGGAGAACGAGTATTTAGTTCTATTTCAAAATAACATTTGGGAAATCGTAGAACTCCCAAAAAATCGAAAAGTAATTGGAAGTCGATTTGTATTCAATAAAAAAATAGGAACTTATGAAAAGAGAAAAGTTAGATTAGTCTCCCAAGGATGCTCACAACGACTAGGAGAAGATTTTTATGAGACATACTCACCCGTTATCTGATCAACATCGTTAAGACTAGTGGCAGCGATCTCAGCAGTACTGGGACTCGAGATACATCAAATGGACGTGTTCGCCGCTTTTTTGAATGAAGATTTATAAGAGGATGTGTATATGGAGAATCCGGAGCATTTACGTAAAGTGCTAAACATAATAATTTCAAATGAAAAAATTGATTCTAGTGACAAGTGTATTAATAAAAAAGTAGGGTGTCCTTTATGTTCATTTCATGAACATTTTGCTTCCTCATAATATGATGCAAAAAATTTGCTTCCTCATGGAGGAAGCAGTAACACTGAAATTAATATACATAAAAAAATTGTGTTTGTTTAAATTCAAGTTTAAACATAAAATTATTGCATTCCTTGCATTATAATAAATCGATTGGTATGTATGATATATATTTAAATTATTATTATTATTTAAATTGAAAGAGTTAATGAAAGTTTAAAAAAAGGAATACAATTATTTTATATTTGAACATGAATTTAAATCAACACAAAATTTCTTTGTTAAAATGTAAATTTTTTATTTTTTAACTTTCATAATTGTTTTAATTTAACGGAAATGTATACTTTATACATACCAGTCGATTCGTTTCAATGCAAGGAATACAATTATTTTATGTTTAAACTTGAATTTAAATAAAAACACAATTTTTTAGCTAAGACGTAAATTTTTTATTTCTTAAATTTCATTAATTTTTTTAATTTTATTCAAATGTATACTTTCTATATACTAATTGATTTGTTTCAATGCAAGGAATAAAATTATTTCATATATAAACTTGAATTTAATCAAACACATCATTTTTTAGCTAATATGAGAATTTTTGATTTTTTAACTTTCATTAATTCTTTAAATTTCAATCAAATCTATACTTTATATATATCAATCGATTCATCTTGACATAAAGAAGACGATTATATTATATATTACCTTAAATTTTTCGATTTAAAAATTTTTTCAATTAAAAAAAAAATTTTGGAAAAAAGACGATAAAATTTTTTTTTTTGGGTATTTTTAAAAATCCTCTCGTCATTTTTGAGAGATTAATGTGTTAAATAAGCCTACCAAATTTTACCCAAATCCATTAAAACCTGTTAAAGATATCGTGTTCACAAAAACTATCCACACACACATACATACATCCGGACAATTGATCAGGATCTCATATAACATGTTTCTATATAGAGGAAAATTTGTTTTCACCATTTTTAAAAATTTTATAAACGAAAGGACTACATAGCTTCCTCCACGAGGAAGCAAAAAGTGTTTGAAACAGCAAAAAATGGTACGAGAATTTAAAATCAACTGAAAACTGTGTTTGTACGTAAAAAAATCATTGTATGGTTTACGACAATCTGGTTCCAGTGTCATAAAAAATTAGCAAAAAAATTAAAAACTTTGAATATTACACGAGTACACGAGTATACTCAAATCAAAAAATGTATGCTAAAAAATTATTATTATAATTATTATTATTATTATATTATATTATATTATATTATATTATATTATATTATATTATATTATATTATATTATATTATATTATATTATATTATATTATATTATATTATATTATATTATATTATATTATATTATATTATATTATATTATATTATATTATATTATATTATATTATATTATATTATATTATATTATATTATATTATATTATATTATATTATATTATATTATATTATATTATATTATATTATATTATATTATATTATATTATATTATATTATATTATATTATATTATATTATATTATATTATATTATATTATATTATATTATATTATATTATATTATATTATATTATATTATATTATATTATTATAATTATTATTACAGTAAATATCTTTATCAAAACTTAATTGGCGCACTGATATATTTATCTGTAACCACGAGACCGGACATAACCTTCGCCGTAAATGTAAAAAAAGTTATTTAAATTTGTTCGGAGTTGCCGATGCGGATTAGAGTTCAGATATAATTGATAGGAAATCATATTCCGGTTACGCATTTATATTATCTGGTTCACCAATCGGCTGGGAAGCTCGAAAACAAAAAAGTGTAGCCTTATCGAGCACTGAGGCTGAATATGTATTACGTCAGGATTTTCAGTAAAGTGGAAGTGAAGTCTCCAAAAACCGTGTTTTGAGAGTTTTTAGAATTTTTTTCACCTTAACCTAACGTGATATCTCTATCACCTTAGGTTAAGGTGAAAAAAATTAAAGCTTATATCTTACACTTTCAGACTAATATGCGCAAGATAAAAAAAAATTGAAATTTAAAAAAAAATTAGGTTCAAGTCACCCAAAAAGTTTATTGGGGTCATTACTCACACTTTTTTCAAAATTTCAAAATTTTTTTTATTATGCGCATATGGGTCTTTAAATATACGTTTTAAACTTTAATTTAAGCCTATATAGAAGTGTTTAGCTTATTGGGTTAAGGAAAAAAAAATAATGAAAACCCTCAAAAACACGGTTTGTGGAGACTCTACCCTTACTTTACTCAAAATCCTGACTAAAATCATCAAGCGGAGTTAAGATCTCCGGCGAAGAACATATTCAAAGCACAAGTTCTGAGTTTAACTGATGGTCCGTTTCTGAATTGCGATTTTTAGCGCATACTTGATAAAGTATACCTGATTATCAGCTGTACTTGTACCAGGTCTGGTGAGGAAAATTTTCACTTTCTTGTACAAGATCTTGTACAGAGATTTTTAATAGGGGAACATATACATGAATGCATTTATGTAAGGAACTGATAGGAGTTCCGTTACTGAACTTGTACAGGGATTTTCGAAAACTCATTTTGAAAGAAATAATAAGTATTTAGATTTTCATAAAGCTCAGTATGGGACGCATAAATATTCCCTTCTTTAGACTTGACGGAATTTTTGTGGTGTCAAATTAAAAATTCCGACAAATCTAATGAAGGGAATATTCATGCGTCTCCTCAGTACCTCTTGCGAAAATGGTAAGAAGGGTAAAAACTTTGAGTTTGAAACTTACTCTGCACACTTTCTGGATATAGTCTTCTTCGAAGATTATCTATGTGTTGGCCCAGATATTTTCCAATATTCCGCAGTTCCAGCTCACGTGTAACGTAAGACTTCTTCATTTGTTCCAGTCTGTCTTCGAAACATTCTACAAAAATAAATGATATATACGTTTATATAGGAGTAAGTTTTAATTAAATTTCAATAACTGTATAATACGCAACATGTTGAAAAACTGAATCGTTTGAATCGTTTCTAGAACTTAGTGGGAAATATTTCAAAAAAATAATCAATTGATTAATCAAAGATTGATAAACAAATACTTACTAATTAAAGCTGCTTTTTTTAAAGAAGACAGTAGTTTACGAGGTGAACGGCCTTCTATTTGTACCCTCTCCTACGTTTGAATTGGCCAGCACATAATCACGCCACAAAGATTCGGCTAAATATTTCACAAACTTGGAATGATGTTTTTGAACAGTAATTAGATCCCAGGATTGAACAGTTATAAAATATCCACTGTATATGTGAATGCACTTTATCTATTACATAAATGATTACACATTTAATATAGAAAAAAAATAAATATAAATTTTGTTTAAAAATTTGATTTGTTTTCTGTCTATTTATAATTACTGAAATTAATAGTAATGACCTAAAAAATTATTATTGATTATATTGGTTTTATATAAAATTAGTATCAAATTGTAAGTCGTTTTGACAAGACTTTAAAAATTTGTCAATTAAAAATTGTTTTTTTGAAAAATGTTATTTTTTAATTTGAATTTATTTGTTTTTTAATGGTAATATTTTTTTGTATGTATTCTTTGCTAATAATTTTGATGAAATTTATAAAACAACCTTCTTTTTCATTTTTTAATTATCTGTCGAAAATCAAGATTTTTACACATAGTAATATTATTTTATGATAAAATTTACAGAACTTTCATTCACCAATATGATTGAAGAAAATTCAGAAAAAATGATCTCATTCACTCTCAAGGTGGGATTCGAATACGACAAATTCCTATTACCGGTAGGATATTCTTAAAGGAACTGAGCTACACGGGAGATTTACAGATGCATTCAGTTTAGGAATTCTAGCATGAGACTTAATTTAAGAATTGAGACTGAAAAGTTGAATACTGATAATGGAGAGGTGAATTCTTATATTATAATCTACACTTTACACTTCAGCCTTGAGAACTGAGACTCTTGACTATAACCATAGTATCAATTTTTTCTTAACAGTGCAGTGAAAGGGATAAGTCCTATGTCTGAAGTCAAGTCTGAATTGTTCAGTGTTAAATATTCAACCCAAGTGATATCAGGCGGAAATAATCCTGTGACATTCAAGCGATATCATAATTTCACGGTGATATTCCAGTGACATGTGTGAGACGTTCGTATGACACTGAGGGATTATTCTCGTGAAATTCGTGTGATATTGGGCGTAATATTCCTGTGTAATTGTGAGAATGACCCGTGATTTTGAGAAAATATTCCTGTAATTTATAAAATTCTAAAATGTTGTTTGGTATCATTGTTTTGAATATTTAAATACAAAAATTATAGAATTTTTTTACTACAACTTTATAAATCATCTCATAAATATCACGTGGATATTTCCTCAATATGACAGGAACATTACGCTCAATATCATAAGAATATCCCCTTAATATCACAGGAATTTCACAGGAATATTCCCGCAGTGTCATACGAACGTCCCACGAATATCACCGTAGAATGTCCCCGTGAAGTTGACATTATGATATCGCCCGAATGTCACAAAAATATTCTCGCCTAATATCACCGTGACATTCAAGCAATATTCGGTGCTACTTAAAAAGTAATTTGTCTTAAGTCAAGTCAGAAGTCTCAATTTTTAAATATTATGAATCATGTCTTATGTCAAGTTTTAAAGTCTTAAAGAAGAATTGATGTCAGGAACAATTAAGCCGCTGGATTCTAGAAGGGTACGTTAATTTTTTCTGCTGGAAAACGAAGTCCCCTGGACACTTAAAATTCATTTTTCGATTGTATTATTACGTAGCAAACACATGTCAAACGTTCGGCCGCTCGCGCAACTTCAAAGTTTAAACATTCGACATTTTGTTATTAATTGTTCAATTGCATTGTAACTTTCCAGAAAACTTCTTTGGACCTTAATGAACAACTTTCTCACTGGAAGTTTGATGCTGGTGAAAATTTACGAAAATTTCTCACAGGGTGAAAATTGCAGTTCATGAATTTTGCAATGTCTCATTAAAAAATTAATAACTTTTTAAATTTTAATCATAACAACTTTTTTCTTTTTTAGTCACTCGTAGAATATAATAACACGTATTTTCGTTTTTGTTTCATTAAGAAATTCGTAAAATTATCTGAGCTGTCGCGAGTTGAAGTCAAACAAACAATGAAAATTTTCTTTTTAAAAAAAACAGTTTTTCTCTTATATTTCGAAAACGGAAAAACATGGAAAATTTCATTTTAAGAAAAAAAGATGCGCAATCGAATTCTGTATAAGAATATGTTCGAAAAATATTAATATTCGAAAAATGAATTTTAAGTGTCCAGGGGACTTCGTTTTCCAGCAGAAAAAATTTACGTGCCCTTCTAGAATCCAGCGGCTCAATTGTAGCGCGTCAGGGTATGGAACTATCATCACAAGACATTCGTACTATTAGACCATAAACTTGTTTCTAATAGAGGAGGCGCAGCTACCTTTTGTAGTTATGGAACATTCGGAAGTATATAGCATAATTTTAAGCTTTTCTATTAACACGACAGTCATACTACAATCGCAAGAATACGATTCGTACTGTAAAATTAAGAAATTTTTTTCAGTCTAGTATTCGCTATTTTGAGTAAAAAGTTTTTTTTTTACTTTTTATCCAAGAGTCATTCATTTTTTTTAATCCTTCAAGAGATATTAGTTTTTGAACAAAATTTCGGAAAAAGTAACAGTATGCGTCATATTTTTCTAGCTATTAAAAAAAATTATGTACTAATAAATATACTATATATAATTTTTCTAAAAAAATCTACCTTAGCCCCTTTTGAACTAACGTGGTCAAATGTTTCGTGAGACGGTAGTTCCTTGATACTCTCCAAGTATCTCTCCAAGTATCGGTCATCAGTCAAACCTGAATCAGACAAGAATTAAAGATGTCTTTATCAACAATGACAAAATTGGTAAGAATTTATTACATACCTGTTGGACTTAAAATATTAGATGGTAGTCGAATTGATATTTTTGGCAAGGAAGTGCGCAATTTCTTTCGACTCCTTTCATTAGAATTTCCGTTTCTATTCGGTTCGTAACTAACCCTTTCGCCATTATCATCTCTTTCTCCTTCAACTTCACTTTCTATTTGAACTGCATCTTGTCCGTTTCCTTTTTCTACTTCACTTCTTCTTTCTACTTAATTTCCTCTTTCCACTTCATTTACTCTTTCTACTTCACTTTCTCTTTCTACTTCTCTATCTATTTCAGTTTCTCCTTCTTATTCACTTTCTCTTTCTATTTCAGTTTCTCTTTCTTCTTCACTTTCTCTTTCTTTTGCAATTTCACAAAAAAACAATGTTTATTCTAAAAATGTTTCATGTCTTCTAAACAATATTCTAAAACATTTTAAGAACATGGATATTCAAATAATGTTCTACAACATTTTTTGGCTTACATGAAACATGGTTTTTTGCCTACTGGGATAGGCAGTTTTTTATGATTCTCGGAAAAGTAAAAGCACATATAATACATCAAAAATGTTTAAGAAAGAACTGTTTTAAATCATTTTCGTGCAGTGAATAAAGTGTATAGTTTACAGTGATAGAAAAAGTGAATATAATATTTAGTTTTTGTTCTATTTTAACATTCCAATGGAATTTCCAAAATATCTTAACACCAATAAATAAAATTTCATCTCATCAAAATATAACAGTGATGCATGCAGGTTGAGACGCGGAGAGTAACTAGACTTTATTTCTACAACTTGGCAGTTATTCTAAAACTAAAAGTTGTAGTAAATTCCATAAATACTAGAAATCTCGTAGAATATATTTTAATTACTATTAACCCGAAAAGAATAAAAATCAACCCTTAACGACTATCACCCATTAAACATTTTAATAAATCGGCAGTAACTGTAAAACCAATAAACTGAAATTTTTTTATAAGCTCCGAGGACATTGCAAATTTTTACCAATACTTTCCAATTACTATCAACTTCAATAGGATCAAAATCAACCACTAACAATCATCTCCTAATGAATATTTAGATAAAATATTAGTAATTATAAGAAAAAAAATGAAAATAAATTCTACTGAACATTTGAATATATTAGCAGAAAACTGTGAAACAAGTAAACTAAAAAATTGTTTATAAGCTCCGAGGATATTAGAAATTTTTAAGATAAAATTGTGACTCAGATGTCAATTCTGACAAAAATGAATAAATTTCGGAAAATCAGACATTAATTTTTTTTTTTTTAAAATGACTACTTTCTTAGGCAATGTTGTAGCCCTGGACAGTACTTTTTGAACTACATAAAATACTTTTTGTGAAATGTTTTTTGTTTAAAAATTTTCCCAAAAAACAAAACCCGTCTCAACCTGCATACATCTTCCTTTTTTCAAAATTTTTACTTTTATTTGTTCTGAAACACAAAAGTTATGAAAATCTCTTTGTAAAATTTAAAGTTGTTGAAAGATAACTTTTATTGAATAAAAGTGAATTGTTATATTTGAAAACAGTTATTTTTCTAGTTGGACAGTGTCAAAATTCGGATTTGAATTTCTCTTTACGTTCAAATTTTGTAAAGCAAAAAATTTCATAACTTTATATTTAAGAACAACTTAAGGCGCTTGAACAGGTAGCCAGAAAGAGCCAATCAGAGAGTCAGTAGATATAAATTTTCTGTTTCTCTTACTCTTGTACGTTTTTTGCGTAGGGGGAGGCTGCCGGATGTGTACAAGCGCCTTTAACTCCATGAGTGTGGATGACATCTTCACATATATTCGCAAAAGTCCTTACTTAGGGATTTTTGAGGTCGCTGATCACGATTCTAAAGTCAGATTTTCAAAATACTTAATTTTTGATCCAATATGGCCGACAATGATTTTGAAAAATTTTTAAAATCGATAGATTTGATTAAAAATTTTTACTCAAATAAGGCACTTACAATAAACAATAACTATGAAATGTTAACAATGAAATTCATAATTTTTTTATTTGTACCCTTTAGTAACGAATTTTAAGCGAACTGTCATGAAAATTTATTCACGGCAAAGTCTTACACACTTTGGGACTATTTTGTTATATTTTAGCTACACACCAAAGGAGTTAAATGAAAATTCTTTGTATGTATATTGAGCCCGCCATCTATGACATTTTATTACATTTCATTTATTACCATTATATTTAAAACTTCGAAAGGGTCAACATTGAGAAACTCTATCTCGAAAACTATTAGAACTATTACATTGTTCTTTTTTGTAAATTATCAGGTATTTAGTGAGGTTTACCTTTCCCGTTGGTTATTTTTACATAAATTATTAGTTTCTAAGATATATTACAAAAATTGAAAAGTAACAGATTTTCCTGCAACTTTGCATACAAGTAGTTCATTGGAAAATATTAGATAGGGTCATTTGGGGTATATGTAAACGGATTTGCTTAGTTTCGACAATAACGTAAGTTTTTTATTTTAAAAAGTAATACTTCCGGTTTTCTACTGCATGAACTTGTTACTTCACTTCCCTAGAAACATTTTATGAGGTACAAAAAAATATTGATCAACTTGAATCGCTTAAAACTGACTGTTTACATTTACCCCGAGATTTTGAAATTTTCCCAAAATTCGGGGTAAATGTAAACACCCCTGTAGTTTAAAGAGGTTTAAGAAAAAAGTTATCCCAAGTATACTACTGAGTAAAGGGATGTAAAAACTGAAAAAAATTCTTGGTAGATGTTAAATAATTGAACCAATTGATTGATATGCAATATATAAAATAAGCAATCATTACCATAACAAAACTAGTAATGTAAAACTTGAATAACTTCAATAAATTTTAATAGATTTTCATTCAACTTGGTGAAAATAAGTTTTTAAGGTTGCTGAATAAGATTCTAAAATCGAATTTTTAAATTTCAAAATGTCGGATCCAAAATGGCGGACAAACATAAAAATATTGTTAAAAATTAATCAAATTTGCTTGAATCTCGCTACTCGGGGGTTTTTGAGGTCACTGAATACGAATTTGAAGACAAATTTAAAATTTTCAAAATGTCGGATCAATCAACCAATCAATCCACCAATCACTCAATCAACCAATCTATAAATCAATCATCCAAGCAACCAATCTATCCACCAATCAATCACTCAATCACTCAATCAAACCAATCATCCAATCAATCCACTAATCAATCAATCAAGCAATCAACCACTCATTCAACCAATCTATAAATCAATTATCCAATCAACCAATCAATCCAATCCACCAATTACTCAATCAACCAATCAATCCATCAATCCATCAATCAATCTATCAATCAATCAACCAATCAATCACTCACTCTTATTCTAGGATTCCTACGTACCTGAGAATTATTCACCAATCGTGAAGAATCGCTTTCCTATATTTTAAACACGTAAATGCACTATGCAATACTATGCAGGTCTATACCTGCAACTGACTAACACGAAGGAGATATAAAAGAAGATCCAATTTCGTTTTTTATGTAATTTTACAGGGCCCAAATAATGTAATTGTGAAATAGAAGCAAATTTATTCAATTATTTTCTTTTAAAATGCAGCAGAAATTCTGTTTACATTTACCCCGAGTTTTCGAATTCTCGGGGTAAATGTAAACACTTAATTATCTATTAACTGAATTGGCGAAATTAAAAAATCAAAGTCAGCTTTTGTTAAGGGATTCATAAGGAATAATTAGAAATTTTAGTTTGAATTTTTAGTTCATTTTTATTCAAATGCGAGACAAAATACTGAAACAGTAAAACTTTGATTTTCAATCTTTCATGCATTAAGCGACAAATTGGAGTATGGCTTTGACAATTGTCGAAAAAAAAAAATTGGCAATACTCAGAACCTGTTGCAGGTAAGCTGAGGTTAAAATATTGGGATCAAACTTAATTTTAAATCTGAAAATTAAGCTGCAAAATCTGCTGTTTACATTTACCCCTTGTTTACATTTTCCCCAAATGACCCTACCTATTTTTTTGTATCGGCCCAAAAATGGTTTTAGGGGTAGAAATCACCCTTAATAGTTTTTAGGGATGAGTTTGATTATTTTACGAATTATTTGAACGATTACTGTAAAACCGGGTATAGAGGGGTTTCTGAGGTCGCTGATTACGAATATGAAGTCAGTTTTTAAATATTTTAAATGGCAAATAAATTTTAAAAAGTTTGTGATTTTTTAATTTTTTAATTTTGCGGAGGTAGTGATGAAATGATTTTTAAAAGAGTGTTTAGAAGTAAAAATTCTTGAAAAAAAATTTTTTTAATGAAAATTATAATTTAAAGTTAGAGCAGTAATGTGGAAGGTTGTCATTTTTTACAGCAAAGAAGTGCTGAATACACATTGATGTTTTGCACCAACCACATCTTATTATTGCAATATTATTGCAAATTTCACAGCTGCTTTCACAGTTTGTCATGCAAAAGACAACAGGGGTGTCGGATTTCTCTGGTTTTTCTTCAATGTATCTACTTTTCCACCAAGCGTATTTAAACAAATTCTTAAATCTTGGCGAGGAAAATTGGTTGTGAATTAACGACTGGATTTTGAGGATGTTGTCTCTTAAGTGTAAGTTGACGTCATAGTTGTAGAGAATGACAATGTCAGAAAATTTCTTTAAAAAATTTTTCCATGGTCTAAAGCAATAGACGTCTAGCGGTTGTATGAAACCAGTAGTTCCAGCAGGAATCATACAAATGTCGACGTTCTTATTTCCTCGATCTAAATTGTCAAATGTCTTTTTGGTTTGCCCTGACCAAGAGTCCAACAAAAGAACAGAGTTTTCCTCGGTTGTTGGTAGAAAAACGTTTTTATACCATTTAATGACAAGTTCTGATGATAATTTACCGGATTTTGACGCAAAAACTGCAATATTATTGGCTCTGTACATATTTTTCTCTACAATTGGTCCAAATTTACCGTTAGTTTCTTGCAGGACAATTAACAAAGGAGATGTCAACGTTAAGTCTCCTGCGAGAAGTAAATAACGTGAAGCCACCTACCTACTATGCATGGAAACTATCACTCGAATGCTCAACTGCGCATGCTTTTAAAAAGCGCACTAAATTCAAATGTAATTATAATGCCAATACAAATAGAAATGGACTATATTTATATATTGATTCACAATCAGTTAATTGTTTTAACAGACAGTAAAATAATTTGATTTATTTATTATCCAATAATTAATAAATAAAACAATGAACATTTTGAAATTACAGTATTGTTACAAATTAATTGGGTGTTTACTTTTTTTAGTGAATCAAATTTCCAGAAATCTTCCTGTTCTCTTAATGTAATAAAGTTGTTATTATTATTTTTATAATAAATTGTTGTCAAAAAATTAATTAATTAATAAAACATTTTTTATTGTCAAGTAAATTTAAAAAATTGTAAAAAAAATATTTAACAAAATTTTTTATGTCAAAATTTAAAAAGAGAATTATCTAACTGTACGAATGTAAAAATGTAAAAAAAAATTTTGTCCCGTTCAGAAATAAATACAATTGTGATTGAACTATAATTATAATTATCCATTACAAATTCTAATTAATGACTTTTAGAAAATATTCAAGAGTATAAAAAAAGCATGTAGAAATTTAATACTTTTATATTTTCATTTCATGTTAAATTTAATACTTTTTTCAAAAATAATAGGCCATTTTGAATTTTTAAAAACGAACTTTAAATTCGTCATCAGCGACCTCATTAACCCCTTGATACAAAATTTCAACATTTTTCAAAAACTTACCAATTTTTTAAAAATTAATACACCATATTGGATCCGCCATTTTGAATTTCTAAAAACTAACTTTAAATTCGTCATCAGCGACCTCATTAACCTCTTGATACAAAGTTTTACTAAATTTTATTATTTTAGAAACACATTACAAAAAAATAACTAATTTTTTCAAAATTAATTTGCCATATTGGATCCGCCATTTTGAATATTTAAAAACTGACTTCATATTCGTAATCAGCGACCTCAGAAACCCCTCTATACCCGGTTTTACAGTAATCGTTCAAATAATTCGTAAAATAATCAAACTCACCCCTAAAAACTGTTAAGGGTGATTTCTACCCCTAAAACTATTTTTGGGCCGATATAAAAAAATAGGTATCTAATATTTTTAAATGAACTACTTGTATGCAAAGTTGCAGGAAAATCGGCGACTGACACTTCCCTAGTCTTACTTTGGGTCAATTTTTGAGCTACATGGTTCAAATTTTTATTAAATTATTCAGAAATGTATAAAATTTATTTTTTATAAAAACTAGGTACTTTATTTTTACCCCAGAATGAAGGGTTTAAGCAAAAAAATGAAGGTTCTAAGTTAAAACATGATATGCCTTGTTTTTCGACTAATTTAACTAGACTACAAGTTTTATGTGTGGTTTTACTTTTCGGTGGTTCAAATGGTTATGTGGAGAACTATAACATACTTTTGTATATATAAAATAAACTATTGATGCAATTAATTTCTATCAAATACATTAAATGTAATCTATTATATGATTTTCTTCACTACTAGTAATCAATTAACTTATTTAAAATATTATTTAGGGATCTAATTCAAGTTGACCATTAAAATTTGGGTTTAAATTTGAAAGCATTTGCACGGCTTGAAACTATTTTTCAAGGCATTAAAAATAATACTTAATTGAGAATCACGCATATACAAAAATTTATTTAAACGATGTAACAGTAAAGGAAAAAATTAAGAAACGGTCCCATGTTAACGTGAAACCGTTAGCGTAAAACGAAAGAGTGAGTAAAAGAGATAAATAGATATAACTCTCTCTTTCACTCACTTGGTTTACGCTTTTTGCCGTCGCATTTACGCCTACATGGGACGGTCCATTTACAGCTAATAAAAGAAAAATCTGCGTCATTACATAAAAATTGAAAACAATCTCTAAATTAGGAGAAAAAGGAGATTAGAGTTTTATGTAACTATTTTATTAAAAGAAGCATGAAGTATATTTTACCTGTTGGAGTATGCACATGACTTGGAGGCAAGAAACTTTTCGCACCCATGGCAAAAAGTTTCCTCTTCAAATTAGACTTATTTCTCTCATTCTTTACATTAGCGATAATTTTCTAGTTTAGAACATAAGAAATAAAGTTCAGAGCAATAACAATGATTAAGGGGAGGTTCTCATTGCACAGTGGGGCCAAAAACACGTCCGTGGACAAATTAACTTAGAGCCTACAAATTTCAACCGATTTTGACGTTCTTTGAATTGACTTAAAGGTAATAAAATTCCACACAGCGCTGTCGTTTTTGTTTTTTTAAAAAAAAATTTTTTCTATTGTTTATTTATTGTTAAAGTTGAAAAATTTTTTTTTTCTTCTCTAAAAACTACATAAGTTTTTCAAAAAGGACGGTATTACATCAACAAAGCCTAAAATTGTTAAAGCAATGATTTGAGAACATTTTCTGAGATTTAAATAATTGTTTAAAAATTTTTTTTAATTGTTATTAACAAATTAGCGGACTAAAGACGATTTAATTGTTTTTTTTACTTTTAGCAATTGAAATGCATGTAATCTTTTGTATTTAAGGGCCAAAAGTAATTAACATTGAAAATAATTATTATAAACTAATTATTGTTATTTTTTAAACAATTTTTATAAACAATTTTCTTTATCTTAGTTCTTTATAACTAAATTATTTAAATATTGTGTTCAGTCTACTATATTATTACTCAAGATGAACAAATATTGCTAAATTTTGACAATTTTCAACTTAGCTTTGTTTAAACAACTCTTAATTAACAAATACACAATGACGTTGTTTTTAGTTGTTTCAAATTCGTTTTTTTTCAAGACTCCTTCCCACGTGAAAAAGTTCCCGGAAGACTCCCGGGAATCTCCCGGGAATTTCTTAGAAAAAATTCCCGCAAACTTGTTAACCCTTACGTGAAGCATTGTAGGTGTCTCTGAAACAAAAAACTTTTGTTTAAGGCGTAAAAAATTTTTGTAAGTATTTAAAAAGTTTCATTTAACACGAGGAAGTACCCAGAAGCATATTTAAAGTTTAGGTTATGAAATTTCAAATTCAGACAATTTTGTTGGTATTTTTGTATGTTACGTTTAATACTTCGAGAATGTTTTATAGTTAAAAAAAATTAATCAAAATGTTTTATTCTGTAATTTAGTAAATGTCTGTACATAAAAGTTTAATAAAAATTAAAAAAATCAACGATATTTTTGAAGATATTTTAGTTGTTTTTCAAGAATTAAAAATATAAATATAAATTGATAAATAAATAATCAGAAGAAAAAATTTTAATTATGATAAAAACTTTTTGTTTGAAATTACATGGAATAAATAATTAACTGATTTATATTTAATTTGACAGAGACAGTTGATAAAAATCAATTGACCTAGGAGCAAATATTTAAAGGTTAATTGAAGATATTTGACTTTGACTGAGTTTAGGTAATATGATAATTGCTTCTCGTAAACGATTGAGCTGTTTAACATAAACTTCCCTGAAAAAGTTTATGAAAACGACCTGAACACTAGGAAAGTATTTTGAAACTTCCTAGTGATCATTTATCACGTTTTAAGGTTAACTTGTTCCAGAAGTTGACGAAAAATTACCCTGAGTAATCATAGGTACCTGGAATTCTCTTGTAGCGATCGTCTTTCATATTTTAGGGTTTTCTTCCTCGAAGAAGTTATCGAAATTTAACTAACTTTTAGAGAAGTACCTGGAGAGATCCTAGTAATCGACTATTGATTTTTTTTCAGTTTAATACATTGGAAAATGTCGATTAATTACCTGGATCTCAGACTGAAACCTTGAATAGGTTCCTATAAGTAATTAACATGCAAAATATGATTAACCTAAACTTTAAATATGCTTCTGGGTACTTCCTAGTGTTAAATGAAACATTCTAAATACTTACAAAAATTTTTTACGCCTTAAACAAAAGTTTTTTGTTTCAGAGACACCTACAATGCTTCACGTAAGGGTTAACAAGTTTGCGGGAATTTTTTCTGAGAAATTCCCGGGAGATTCCCGGGAATCAACTCCCGGGAAATTCCCGGGACTCTCCCGGGAACTTTTTCACGTGGGCTTAATTTTTAAATATTTTTGTATTACACCGTCCGACACGATTTTTCACACATGAAAAAATCAATGATTTTTAGAAACACCAAAAAAAAGATACCCGTGTCTGTCCGTTTTGCTAGATCAGGTCATTTTTTGCTTTTAGGGGTAAAATCAACCCTTAAATGAAAGGTGATAGGAAATCTTGTACAAATAAATAATTTTTTATGAAACCTGGTATCTCGGGGTTTTCCGGGTCGCTGATTACGAATCTGATGTCGGATTTTCAAAATTCAAAATGGCGGATCCAATATGGCGGTTGAAATTTATAATAATTCACCAATTCATTTGAAAGTTGTTACTTAGGGGTTTTTGGGGTCGCTGATTGCGAATATGATGTCAGATTTTCAAAATTCAAAATGGCGGATTCAATATAGCGGTCGAAATTTATAAAAGTTCATCGAATTCACTTGAAACTTGTTACTTGAAGGTTTTTGGGGTCGCTGATAACGAATATGATGTCAGATTTTAATAATTCAAAATGGCGGATCCAATATGGCGGTCGAAATTTATAAATATTAATCATTTTTTATAAAACTTGGTGTCTAGAAGTTTTTGGGGTCGCTGAGCACAAATCTGAAGTCAGATTTTTAAAATTCAAAATGGCAGATTCAATATAGCGTTTGAAATTTTTAAAAATTCGTCGAATTCACTTGAAACTTGTTACTTGAAGGTTTTTGGGGTTGCTGATTACGAATTTGATGTCGGCTTTTCAAAATTCAAAATGGCGGATCCAATATGGTGGTCGAAATTTATAAATGTTTTTATGTTGTTATTATTATTATTATTATTATGTTATTATCAGCGACCTCAAAAGCCCCTAGACATCAAATTTTATAAAAAATAATTAATATTTATAAATTTCGACTGCCATATTGGATCCGCCATGTTGAATTTTCAAAATCTGACATCATATTCGTTATCAGCGACCCCAAAAACCTTCAAGTAACAAGTTTCAAGTGAATTCGACCAATTTTTAAAAATTTCAAACGCTATATTGAATCTGCCATTTTGAATTTTAAAAATCTGACATCATATTCGCAATCAGCGACCCCAAAAACCTTAAAGTAACAAGTTTCAAGTAAATTCGATGAACTTTTATAAATTTCGAACGCCATATTGAATCCACCATTTTGAATTTTGAAAATCTGACATCAGATTCGTAATCAGCGACCCGGAAAACCCCGAGATACCAGGTTTCATAAAAAATTATTAATTTGTACAAGATTTCCTATCACCTTTCATTTAAGGGCTGTTTTTACCTCTAAAAGCAAAAAATGACCTGATCTAGCAAAACGGACAGACACGGGTATCTTTTTTTTGGTGTTTCTGAAAATCATTGATTTTTTCATGTGTGAAAAATCGTGTCGGACGGTGTAATATAAAAATATTTAAAAATTAAGGAGTCTTGAAAAAAAACGAATTTGAAACAACTAAAAACAACGTCACTGTGTATTTGTTAATTAAGAGTTGTTTAAACAAAGCTAAGTTGAAAATTGTCAAAATTTAGCAATATTTGTTCATCTTGAGTAATAATATAGTAGACTGAACACAATATTTAAATAATTTAGTTATAAAGAACTAAGATAAAGAAAATTGTTTATAAAAATTGTTTAAAAAATACTAGGAAGTTTCAAAATACTTTCCTAGTGTTCAGGTCGTTTTCATAAACTTTTTCAGGGAAGTTTATGTTAAACAGCTCAATCGTTTACGAGAAGCAATTATCATATTACCTAAACTCAGTCAAAGTCAAATATCTTCAATTAACCTTTAAATATTTGCTCCTAGGTCAATTGATTTTTATCAACTGTCTCTGTCAAATTAAATATAAATCAGTTAATTATTTATTCCATGTAATTTCAAACAAAAAGTTTTTATCATAATTAAAATTTTTTCTTCTGATTATTTATTTATCAATTTATATTTATATTTTTAATTCTTGAAAAACAACTAAAATATCTTCAAAAATATCGTTGATTTTTTTAATTTTTATTAAACTTTTATGTACAGACATTTACTAAATTACAGAATAAAACATTTTGATTAATTTTTTTTAACTATAAAACATTCTCGAAGTATTAAACGTAACATACAAAAATACCAACAAAATTGTCTGAATTTGAAATTTCATAACCTAAACTTTAAATATGCTTCTGGGTACTTCCTCGTGTTAAATGAAACTTTTTAAATACTTACAAAAATTTTTTACGCCTTAAACAAAAGTTTTTTGTTTCAGAGACACCTACAATGCTTCACGTAAGGGTTAACAAGTTTGCGGGAATTTTTTCTAAGAAATTCCCGGGAGTCTTCCGGGAACTTTTTCACGTGGGAAGGAGTCTTGAAAAAAAACGAATTTGAACAACTAAAAACAACGTCATTGTGTATTTGTTAATTAAGAGTTGTTTAAACAAAGCTAAGTTGAAAATTGTCAAAATTTAGCAATATTTGTTCATCTTGAGTAATAATATAGTAGACTGAACACAATATTTAAATAATTTAGTTATAAAGAACTAAGATAAAGAAAATTGTTTATAAAAATTGTTTAAAAAATAACAATAATTAGTTTATAATAATTATTTTCAATGTTAATTACTTTTGGCCCTTAAATACAAAAGATTACATGCATTTCAATTGCTAAAAGTAAAAAAAACAATTAAATCGTCTTTAGTCCGCTAATTTGTTAATAACAATTAAAAAAAATTTTTAAACAATTATTTAAATCTCAGAAAATGTTCTCAAATCATTGCTTTAACAATTTTAGGCTTTGTTGATGTAATACCGTCCTTTTTGAAAAACTTATGTAGTTTTTAGAGAAGAAAAAAAAAATTTTTCAACTTTAACAATAAATAAACAATAGAAAAATTTTTTTTTTAAAAAAACAAAAACGACAGCGCTGTGTGGAATTTTATTACCTTTAAGTCAATTCAAAGAACGTCAAAATCGGTTGAAATTTGTAGGCTCTAAGTTAATTTGTCCACGGACGTGTTTTTGGCCCCACTGTGCACTGTGCAATGAGAACCTCCCCTTAATCATTGTTATTGCTCTGAACTTTATTTCTTATGTTCTAAACTAGAAAATTATCGCTAATGTAAAGAATGAGAGAAATAAGTCTAATTTGAAGAGGAAACTTTTTGCCATGGGTGCGAAAAGTTTCTTGCCTCCAAGTCATGTGCATACTCCAACAGGTAAAATATACTTCATGCTTCTTTTAATAAAATAGTTACATAAAACTCTAATCTCCTTTTTCTCCTAATTTAGAGATTGTTTTCAATTTTTATGTAATGACGCAGATTTTTCTTTTATTAGCTGTAAATGGACCGTCCCATGTAGGCGTAAATGCGACGGCAAAAAGCGTAAACCAAGTGAGTGAAAGAGAGAGTTATATCTATTTATCTCTTTTACTCACTCTTTCGTTTTACGCTAACGGTTTCACGTTAACATGGGACCGTTTCTTAATTTTTTCCTTTACTGTTACATCGTTTAAATAAATTTTTGTATATGCGTGATTCTCAATTAAGTATTATTTTTAATGCCTTGAAAAATAGTTTCAAGCCGTGCAAATGCTTTCAAATTTAAACCCAAATTTTAATGGTCAACTTGAATTAGATCCCTAAATAATATTTTAAATAAGTTAATTGATTACTAGTAGTGAAGAAAATCATATAATAGATTACATTTAATGTATTTGATAGAAATTAATTGCATCAATAGTTTATTTTATATATACAAAAGTATGTTATAGTTCTCCACATAACCATTTGAACCACCGAAAAGTAAAACCACACATAAAACTTGTAGTCTAGTTAAATTAGTCGAAAAACAAGGCATATCATGTTTTAACTTAGAACCTTCATTTTTTTGCTTAAACCCTTCATTCTGGGGTAAAAATAAAGTACCTAGTTTTTATAAAAAATAAATTTTATACATTTCTGAATAATTTAATAAAAATTTGAACCATGTAGCTCAAAAATTGACCCAAAGTAAGACTAGGGAAGTGTCAGTCGCCGATTTTCCTGCAACTTTGCATACAAGTAGTTCATTTAAAAATATTAGATACCTATTTTTTTATATCGGCCCAAAAATAGTTTTAGGGGTAGAAATCACCCTTAACAGTTTTTAGGGGTGAGTTTGATTATTTTACGAATTATTTGAACGATTACTGTAAAACCGGGTATAGAGGGGTTTCTGAGGTCGCTGATTACGAATATGAAGTCAGTTTTTAAATATTCAAAATGGCGGATCCAATATGGCAAATTAATTTTGAAAAAATTAGTTATTTTTTTGTAATGTGTTTCTAAAATAATAAAATTTAGTAAAACTTTGTATCAAGAGGTTAATGAGGTCGCTGATGACGAATTTAAAGTTAGTTTTTAGAAATTCAAAATGGCGGATCCAATATGGTGTATTAATTTTTAAAAAATTGGTAAGTTTTTGAAAAATGTTGAAATTTTGTATCAAGGGGTTAATGAGGTCGCTGATGACGAATTTAAAGTTCGTTTTTAAAAATTCAAAATGGCCTATTATTTTTGAAAAAAGTAT